TATACACATGTATGTGTGTGTGTGAAAAAGTACTTTAAATTATGAATCGTGATGACTTTATTTTCTTTCCTATTTTTATCATCTTTGGATTTTCTTTATCAATATGACCCTAAACATAGATCAGATACTGAATTGGATAATCTCAATTTATGTTCTTCACAAACTAAAAATAAAGTGATAGTAATTCTGTACAAGTCTCTGAACAAAATTTCAGATTTTATTAACATATTAAAAGCCAACATGAACACTAAATTTTCAATCAAGTAACATATACCAGTTTAACCCTATGACTTATGAACATCTTTTACACGCTGGCTTGTAGCACAAGCTGAGAAGCAGGAGTGTCATCACAAGAGGATGTTCCCTTTTCTTGTCCAAATGCTCCCATTACCCTGCTTTCTACACAGAGACATTATTTAGACTGAATGGTTGTGGGTAATGACAATGTCCTTTATCATCTAACATCATCAATAGATGTGACTATTAGCCTGAGACCTTATGTCAGTCCCTGTTTGTTACCAGAAGTGAAGTACCTCTTACCTAGCTATAATAAAATGTACTGTATTCAGATTCTCTTAGCACATTTACCTCTGCTTAAAGAAACTCCTAGCAGTAACTACAAAGTTCTCAACCTGGACCATGACGTACATCAGCTGTATGAATTGCTAAAGTAGAAGATCTATGTAGTATTATAAAAGTATAGCATCATAAAATCATGTTTTAAAATAGAAAGGGAAAATACTTGAAGCTATGTATTGCAAGAACATATGTAGAAAGAGAAAACTCAAATAACAAGAATGAGTAAAGTGGGAAAACTAGGAGTAGAAAAATAAATATCCTGGTTTTCAATCCATTTTACCTTATGTGTGCAAACATTTTTCCTCTTATCTCCATCACAGTGTAGTCAATGGAGGACCAGAACATCTTATAAATAATGTCTTCAGCTAACCAGAACAGGATTTTGTCATCCATTATGCCTGATGAGCAGATCTTGGGTTATTTATTCTGCCACAAACTGAACTTTGTTGAGATTAGCAGAAACGTGGTTAATCAACACAGACACATTTGAAGCATGCATCTTCATCTTTAGGCATTTTCCATGTATGAAGAATTATAGAAAATATTTTTCAAACACAGCAGAAAAATCACAGATATATGTAAAGCATCAGTCATACACAAATTAATTGTGTTTTGTCAAATCCAAGAAGCTTTAAATTCATGGACAAATTCAAAGAACAATATATGCTAATTAAGTCAGTTTAACCAATGGGGGAAAAAATGGGAGAAGCTATTAAAATTTCAATTTATACCAATTTACTAGAATGTCATTTTTAAAGATATAATGAATAATAGGGTATATTATCTCAATAATCATAGTAATAAAATCACATTTATTACATTATTGAAACTCATTTATTTTTATTATTGTTACAAGTTTAAATTATATATCTATATACATAATTTTATGAGTTGGTAGTTTTTTGAAAGATTTGTGAAATTGATAATGCGGAAGAAAGGTTAAACATTATATGAAATAATTCATACTGAAGAGGGCAGTTTACATGTAAGAAGGAATTATATTTAGCTCAAGGCTATTATTATAAAAGAAAAAATCAAATTATTTTTAATAAAAACACATACATATGTATATAAAATTTTTGTAAAGAAATCTTTAAGAATTTGGAAAAATAGGAAATAATTGAACAGCTGATCTATGTATCTGAAGGTACTTTATAATGTCTTTTCAAATTATCTTAAAGATTGGTAGCTAAGTGATTAAGTACATTCAGAAATAATATAATTTGTGCCATAGATTAACTTTTGTTTTAATGACTTTGAAGTCTTATATTGTATTTGAATCACAGTGCTTTGGACTTGTTCACTTTAAGTTGTTTATTGATTAAGGTATTTTAAGTATTCAAAAAAACTTATTACAGTGGTATTCATAGAAAAGATTTTAATCTGTATAATTCTGAAAGTTATTTATTTACATATTCATTTGTGCCAGTGTTTATTAACAATAAACATGAAAATTTACCTCTGTGTTTTATTTTATTTTACAGTGCTTGCTATTGAACTTAGGGCCTCATGCATGCTAGATAATATTTCTACCACAGAGCTACATCCCTAGCTCTGAAAGTTCCATTTTAAGGGATTTCCTAAAGAAACTGTACACCCAAGCAATAAAATTAGATCAAAATTTGTCATTAAAATTCTAAAAGTTAGGTTCCCAAACTATTACTGCCAGACGTAAGGAAAGCAAAAAGAGACAGAAATAAGGTCCAGAGGAAAAGCAAAAGCTGCTCACCTGAGCTGCTAGCTTTATTTATATGAGTAGGTTACTTTAGGTTATTGGCATCATTAGTACATATTGTCCATTGTATTACTAGGCAGGTTACAGACTTAGCAACGTTATGCAGCTTATTCCTTCAGTTATATGTTAAGTTGCAATGTGTAATGTTAGGAGATTTGTGTAGCTCTCAAGAAATTTCATTGTCTAAATTTACTGTTATGTGGACAGTCTTAGGCTCAGTGAAACATTGTGATTGTCTAACAAGAGAGTTCCTTTATTCCCAGGAGCTGAGTGTCTGAGATCAAAGTTGACACTGATAAGACTCTAGCACAGAGCCTCCTCATGAAGGACATTACCATAGCCGCTAGGCATTATACATGTATTAGTTATATCTTACTGGTTTAAGGGAGAAATTGCAGAATAATGTAAGTGTGGAAAATAAGGAACCTGTTACCCCTGGGGAGTTTGCTCACCAGAGAAACTCTTCCTTGTACATTTCCACAGCCAGAATCCTTACAGTCATACCATCCCTTTAGCCTTCTAAGTGCAACATTACCAGGATTTCTGAAAGAATAATAGAAGATATTTTGTTAATTTTTATATTACAAACATGCACTAAGTGGCTTCTATATACTAGGTACTATTCTGATAATTCAGAATAAAGCACTTCACATAGAGAAAAATTTCCTTCACTGATTAAGCAGGAAAATATTTTCATGATACATGAAGACAAACAATGAGCTAGGCAAATGAGTTATCACCACAAGATGGTGTTTTTCTTAGTTCATAAAAATAGAACAATGAAGGGAAGTATGGAGTGTTGCTAATAGGAAAGAAATTGTAATTTCACCTAAGTCTAATGAAAACCTCATTGAGACTTTATGTAAGAAAAGAGTTCCTGGGCATGGGTGAATGAATCCTCACACAGATACATCAGTAATAACATTCCAAAAAAAAAAAAAATGAGAAAGGCCAATAAAAAGGTCTGAACTGGGGACATGCGTGCCTATTCATAGAACTTCTGGTAATGTGAAGAGGTCAATTTTGGAATCCTTGGAAAAGAGGAAAAGACCTGACATAATTAGAGAAGTGAGATTTAGGAATGAGAGATCATAACAAAAGTTTAGGTGCAAAATTAAACTGAGTTTGACAATGAATCATATGAGAAGGCACTGAATGGCCAGTACAGTAGGATCCTGTTGGACTATATTACAAATTCCCTAAATTTAATGGTTTGAAATATGTATTTATTAGCTCTCAGTTCTCTAAATCTGTTCAAGTATGGTATGCCTGGAATCTCTGCTTGGGATAAAAAAAGATTAATGTCAAAGTGTTGGTCAGGCTCAAGAGGAAATTTTACTAATATGTTCATTCAGGTTATTGACACAATTTATTTCCTATGGTTGTAGGACTGAGGCCTTCATGTTCTTTTTGCTGTCAACTGAACTTTGCTCTCAGCTTATAGATTCTTTTGGCATTTCTTGCCATGTGGTCTCTATGATAATCCAAACCAGAAATGGAGACTTTCTCATGTCAAATCCCTTGCATACTTCTCAGATCTTTACCAGGAGGAGCAAAAGCCCTGTTAAAGCTCCATCTAATTAAATCAAGCCCACCCAACATAATCATCTTGTCTAATTTCAGTTGATTTGGGACTTTAACTACATCTGCAAAATCCCTTCAAAATATCACATAAATTAGTGTTTGAGTAACTGAAAGAAGAGATATATTCAGTAAGACTTGGGCATCTTGTAGGTAACTTAAAACTCTCTATACCAAAGCTACAAAGGAATTGTTTTATTTATATTTTAACTCTGACTTCTGAATTCAGACTACTCTATAAAGGGGCTAATGGAGACATAGAGATAAGAAAGAGGAAGATATTGTAACAGTTTAGAAGACAGATGATGGTAGAATAGAACAAGGTAAAATAATAAATTTGGTCTCAAATTTTATAGTTCTTAAAATAGTTTAGAAAACAGAAATTACATAACAAGTAATTTGGCATTATGAAAAAAAGATAGGTTACTAGCTAGGCAGGAAAGTGAGGGCAAAATAGATTTTAGTTTTTCATTTTCAATTTTTAAGAGGAATGACATTAAGATTTAATTTTATGGAGCATGGCAATTGAGAATAACAGGAAAGAGAGAAGAGTGGGGAGCTGTATTTGCTTATAAAAGTAGGCATAAAGAAAAAATGAGAGGATGCCCTTTGCCAATTGAATGGGTGGTTCAAATACAATATTATAGAGTATGTGAAGACACAAGAAGGTGGGTAGAAAGATGGTGGGTCCTAGTGCAATTTCTCTTTTGTTGCTTCAAATTTTGACAGTGAAACAGGGAGCAAGTCCATTAAATCAAGAGAGAATAAACATAGATTTGCTGAAAGAAAAGGAGAGGTGAAAAGTAATGAGTAAATGACAGGAAAATGAAAGTTTGATTGAATAACAGAAATACAATATGGATACCAGGCAGCATAAAGAGTCCCTGGAAATTAATAAGTATGAATCTAGGTGAAACTTTTCAAGAAGGTTATTTTTGTTCTCTAGTTTATTTGGGACCCAGGTTGCAAGACAGTGGAGATTCAGACTTAACCAAATTTAAGTCTAGGCAAAGTAATGTGTAAATAATACAGAGTGATTGTTTGAAATTGAGAATGTTTACACAGTAATGACTGATTCTAGAATTTTGGCTGAGTCTTTAGGGAGGTGAGAATGAGAGAAGGCAAAGGTGCTGGGAATAGATTTCAGGATCAAGCCTTGGTAAGCACTGTTGATTTGAATGTATTGGTTTTGGGGACAGTAGAACAAATGTGTTGGAAAGATGGAGTATTGTATAATATATGAAATTATACTAAACATCAAATTGCACTTATTGAATAATGGTAAGGGATAAGTTATACTTGTGGAAATAAGTATGCAATGTGAGATAAAAGACAAAATTTCTAGAAGAGAAAAGCATAAATTTTAGAGGACTGATAGATCACATAAATATATAAGGGTATTCACAGAGCTCATAGACAGGTAGGAGTTAGACACCATGAGATGATGGGTGATCTGCAGGATCTGGCCCTCATGTGATAGTTCAAATGGCAATAACAAGCATAGGGAAATCATGTCTCATATCCCTGGGCTGATAGCCCATGACTCTGCAGGGTATTAAATGCAGGATAAGAGAGGTGTGATAGGGAAAAACTGTTAATCGTTCATATTCACTCAGTTATCCTGCTTCAAGGAGGCTCATGCATTTTTGATCCTTTGATTTCAGACTGGTCAAGAGACTTGTGTCCCCCAACCCAACACACACACTCCTTGAAGTAATATTTGGCTTTCTCTTCTTGCTTACCTCAGGAGTAGTCATATGACTTTCTTTGGCAAAAGAAATGTCAGCAGAAGTGATGTCTGCCACTTTCTAACAAAATCTTTGTGTTATCCTTCGATTGCCAGATCCTTTTCACTTTGTTCCAATCTTGCCATTTTCCTGTCAGTTTTCTCAGTCAGCCTGTTCTGCAAAACAAGATGATTTTGAGCAGTCATAGACACCCATAATGGACACATAGCCTTAGAAAAATAATAATCTTTGTGGCTTAAACCTCTGAGATTTTGGCATTGTGATATTAAAGTATAATTGTCTCGAGTGATTTAACATCCTTGCCATTTCTGCAAAGAGTCTTCCCATGGGTGCATGAAGGTTGGTAATGTTTGGTCAAATGGCAATTGATGGAATTTCCATTCAAAAGTATACATAGTATGACCTAGCTCTTCTCCACTGCAATACCTTTTCTCATTTTAGTTTAAATAATCTAAGAAATTAACTTTTAATACATGCATACTCATTATTACGTTAGCAAAATTACAAAAAAATAATTTTCTATATAGAGAATGTTTATAAAAACATCACATGTAACTTTGAGTGGTACAGACTAAATTGAAACAAGAACTTCTTTAGGCTTTAATTGCTGCAAGTTTAGAACAGAACTAGATCCAGATGTTAACAAGTGGGGATACTACATGTCTTCTTCAATCCTTTCTAGTGCATCTACAAACATCAGACCTTATTTTATCAAATCAGAATAGCAAATTATTATATTATCATATTAATTCAATTTATGTTATGGATGTGTCTATTGTTCTTATTTTAAAGGTCTTTAAATAGCCTGAGTTTCATTTTAACGAGTTTTTCCAATTTGTAAATATCTAACTCTTCCTGGGAATATGAAGGTATAGTTAATCTTATAGCATATTCAGATAAAAATTTTCTTGCCCTCCTATTTACCTACATTTTCTTATCTAATTAACTTGTAAGCTATATTAATGTAAATCCTCAGTATTTCCTTAGAGTTAAGAATGAGACGAAAAGATAAATATACTTGTCACTAATTTCTTTATAAATCATTCACATGTTTTGAGGTTTATTCTGGGTATTTATCTTTAATTGCATTCATTCATTAGATTGATATCTACAATTGGAAGAAGGCTTTGAGTGGTATTTTTAAAAATTGTTTGGCCATTTACACTCTTTATTTTGGAGTGTAATCCTGTTTTTATGTCAGTATTACCTAAGGAGGAATAAAGAAATAATATAAATGTTTAGGAAATATAATTTATGAACAGAGTAATTTGTACATTTGGAGAATGTTTTCAATATTCCACTCAGGAGGACCATCTGATATTATTTGGTGGCACATAGGTTAATCCATATTTTATGCCCTTTGGATAGAGAAAGTAGTATGTTGCCCTTGGAAACACTGTCTACTGACTTGGCATTAGTGAAATCCACTTGGCCTGAGTTATGGAGTTAGTCTAGCCCTGAGGATAGGAAATCATTCAGGTTTCTTAAAGGGAATAAGATTAGCATGGCCCCTGAGCCCTCATTTCACACAACATCTCTCAAAGTATCTTGAATTTTTACTACCTGTTTTAAATCACATTTATCAACCCTCTTAACAATAGAGTTAGGACATATTCCATTGTTATCATGGTTGCTAGTATTGTTGTTTAACTACAGTAATTGGTATTATAGCAAAACTAATATTTTTATTATTCTTTTTATTCAGCCAACTTAAGGAAAGCTAGAATATGAATTATTGGCAGGTACTCTTCATCCTATTATACTGAAATTTTCTCCCTTTGCATACAGATTGAATGGCCATCTGTCTCAATTTCCTAGCTACAAACTTAAGTATTTGATGTATAATGAATTTAGAAAAATAAGCCCCTTCTTAAGATATATTATGGAATGGGAAAGGGAAAAATAATACAAGGGGGAGGAATGAATTACAGTAGTGGGGGTAGAGAGAGAAGAGAGGAGGGGAGGGGAGGGGGGATAGTAGAGGATAGGAAAGGCAGCAGAATACAACAGACATGAGTATATCAATATGTAAATCAATGGAAGTGTAACGGATGTGATTCGGCAAGCTGTATACGGGGTAAAATGGGAGTTCATAACCCACTTGAATCAAAATGTGAAATATAATATATCAAGAACTATGTAATGTTTTGAACAACCAACAATAAAAAAAGATATATTATGGAATATAGTATATGAAAATAATAGCTTATCAATGGCACATAAATTGATGCAAGAAGTTATATATTCACTCCTGTAATACCTGGACTGCTCCATTCATTAGTTGACTTTCTTCTCTCTCTCTTTTTTTTTTTTTTTGGCTATCTTATGTTTACGAAAAAACTGAAGTGTTAGCATGAGTACATAGTTTTTATGCACCAGAACCTGCCTCATTATCAGTCATCAAGACAACTGCCTCCTGGTAGGCAAAACAATTGAGCAAGGCTATAACCCAACTACATAGTGGCAGCTAGACTCCTTTTATATGTCTCCAGTGGTGAAGTCAAGTAAGGCCATCAATATATGCTCATTCAGTGTTGTGTTATTGCATAGTAGCAGAGGCTTTGGACCACTGGAGGATGTCTATTTAAAGCACTGAGGAATTAGTCAAAATAATAATTGAGAGATGGCTAATTGCCAAACACCTATAATCTTTCTCATCATTAATCCTTGGATTACTGTAGTTTTAATTTTGATATTGATTGTAGTAAAAATGCTATTATAGTCTTTATTCATTCAGGAGTACCCAGTTCTAAGAAAAGAGAAAAACAGAGAGATGAGGCAATATAACAGACAAATACAGTGTTAGGAAAGAAACTTGATTTTATTTTCCTAAAAATATAATTGAAATTAAGTTCAGTATGGGGCAAAAATAAATTTTATTAATCTTTCAAATACTAGAGACTAGATTTCTATTATAAAAAGATAATTTTATAATAGATATTGGACCCACATTATTCTGAATGAAATATAGTTGCAGCTAGGCAATATATTTTTTCTAGAATTTTACAATCTGAATTATAAACATATTTTTAATTCCTTATTAGGATCCTGGAATAAAATGTGCCAGATGTTATATGCCTAAAAATCTGTTTTATTGCATAAAAATCCTTTGACTAAATTCAATTAAAATATTATCATCTGACCTTTCTAAAGAGAATTTCAATACTATCCTTAGATGAACACATATTAATAACCTTTATTGAACTCGTCACTTAAACCAAACAGTTATCATTCACATTTCTACAGGCCATTGAGCATATACTTGTCAGAACGGATTTACACAGTGTTTTTAGGTACCTTGACAGCATTCTTCTGAATATGTCTTGGGATGCTTTAGCTTTTTTTATTGATTTGATGTATTATTGATTGAAATGAATAAATTCAATTAAAAGGATAAATCAATCTTGCAAATAGGCACCAAATAAGAAACAAACATTACATACCATATGGTTTATTGATAATGCTCAACACAGAACAAAAACTAAAACTATATCACATTTTACTGGTAAGATTAGTTTAGCTGGCTTCAGGTTAAAATGAAGGAATATTTTCAATCACCATATGGCTGTATTTTAAAACAATTTCTTAGTTTATGCTTAAATTTGATTTTCAGGTTTATAGCTTTTCACAAATTTTATGAAATACAATTAAATTTTTTAAAATTGAGGCTTTTGCACATTATTATGGGTAAGAACTAGAATAACACCCAAAGGCTCATATATTTAATGTTTGGCACACAATGCAGCAATAATGAGAGGTGCTTCTTTTGGAAAATATTTGGACATACATACTCTGAACTTATCAATGGATTTAAGATTAATAACTGAATGGACTCTTGGGAGATAATGAAAGCCATACATGGTAGGTCCTACTTTGGGAAGTAGTTCAGGGGCATGCCCTGGAAGAACATAATTTCTTTGCCGTAACTTCTTTTCTCTGTGAGAAGCTTTATTGCACCAAATACTCCCTGTCATAATGTTCAGCCTCACTTGAGGCCTAATGTGAGGAGGACAAGCAACAGAACTCTTTGAAACCATGAGCCAACAAAATAAATCTTTCCTTCTTTAGATTGATTTTATCAGGTATTGTGTCATAGCAACAGAAAGCTAACAAGATCATATATACTGATAAATTTTACTTATATGAATTCTCTCTTTTAATATTAGGAGAGAGTAGAAACAATATTTATTTCAAAAATCTAAATTTTTATATAACAGGAAAGTGTTAAATTTCATACTATACTATAAAAGGACAATTGAAAGGGTACTAAGTAACAATTATATAGGTGTGCTACTTCACAGTAGGATGAATATAGATAACAAAATGCACTATACATTTCAAAAAGCTACAAAAAGTTTTTAAAGTTTTCACCATACAGAAATGATGAGAAGACAGATGTTTTACCTGAATC